AATTAGGAATATACTTCTGACAAAATGGAGAATTCATGAAGTCTCGGAATATGAGGGAAGTCTCTGAAAATATCTCGTACGTGGTTCTATATTCAACTTAATTAATAACTTAATATTCAACTTAAAATAACTTAATATTCAACATAATTTCTGGAAGTTTCCATTTCCTGTTGCTGGTACATGTAGCGATAAACGCATTTATTATGTAACTTTGCGGGTAGTTGTTGCCAGACTCCTTTAATCTTCGACTGGACGAAGGATCCATTTCCTATTATAGAAATTTAGGTTAGAGGAATTTTAATTGACTCAGGATATTAAATTTTCTCACTTATAATCATTTGAAAAAGTAATTTAATTGATGAAAAATTGGGATGTAATTTTTTGGGTAACGCATGAAAGTATAAATTGTATTGAATATTCAGTTAAATTTCTATGTAGACACATTTATGGATTCATAAATAAAATATAGCTGTATAATTCAAAATGATGATGAAAATGCAAAATAGTTTATCAGTATAGATAATTATCAATAATAGATAAAGTGCGAATTATAAAATATATCGTGTTCAATATTAATTTGTATTTTCGTGTCGATTTTCGGTAAAAAAGGTGGATGATCGTTCTTGCTCGAGACTTTTACACGCCACTGTATTATATTCATAGCCGTCGTGTTCCCATTTATTCTTAGAGTCTCTACTTTCTACACGTCACAGTCGTACTTCATTCGAAAAGTCTCTTACTTCCACAGTATTGCAGCGAATAGCACGTTTCGTACTTTGCTTGTCAATCAAAACGATCTAGAACGAAAGTTTCTCTGCAGAGGAAGAAAGGCGGATATTATCAAAATTTCTATCGATATTTTTGTCATTCGAAATAGTCAAGGATTCACGATTAAATTATTTTCGACATTTGGGATATACTCGTTACAAATTGCAGCTGAATTAATTATAAAATGCATCGAATTACATTCATTGGAAAGTTCCATGCAATTTAATATTATTTATCACGGATGATTTTAATTATTTATTGATTTCAATACAACGTAAAATGGGTTAAAATTTTTTATGTTATATTATTTAAATTCATTTTCAATTGTATTGTATCATTGTATTTACACGAATATCTAATGGTCTTGCGAACCATTTTCAGTGGTTTATTCGGACTATCTGCATCGCATTGACTTGTGCATATGATTTGATTATAGTCGACTCGATTAATCGGATAATTGGTTCATTATCAAAATTCGTTTCTTGTTTGTAGAATATTCATAATTGGGGCTATAAATGCAGCCTAGATATCGAATATTAGTTATTATTTGCTTGCTTATTTCCTTACACCTCTTCTATATTAATTAAAAATTTTCGAATAATTCTAAAAAAATTATATTTAATCCTAATAATTCCTAATCTAAGGAAATCAAACTCAAACAAATTATAGGATGACATTTTCACGAATTTTCAGTTCACAAAATTATCGTTTCATTGTAACTTATTGTCTCTAGAACTTACCTATCTTTTTTTCTAATTAAGAAATTGCAAAGTTACTTCATTTACAGATATCGAATTAAAATGGCAAAAATAACGATTGAGAGGATTTCTATTTAAAATTGTAGTTTTCAAAACATTCGTATAGGTCAGTTCTCACTTTAAACGTTACCTTTCCAATTGGAAATACCCGGAGACAACATAAAGTGCACAGACACAGAACATTTGTCGACAAGACGAGCCGTAGACGGAAATACGTTTACCCGAATGTGAAACAGCATTTTATTTCCGTCTTACAGTAAAAGCCGGTCTCGTCCGTTTTACGAACTGCATACATTCGATAAAGATCTGTACTCGTTAAAAAATAGAAGTTAAAACGATGTAGAATAGTACATGAAAGAGGCTATATATATTATTGCTTCGTAAAGTGTTAGTTTTCTATCAGATAGCGATGTTGTCGATACCGCGTTAACGCATAATTTATTCTAATGGAAAGTAGCTTTGTTTCTAATTCTAGGCATTGCAAGTCCTTTTTATTACGGAATGCAGCAATATCGAAGAAGTAGAAATGCAGAAAATAACGGAATAGTTGGAAATTTTATAGCTTTCTGCAATAGGAAATGGTCGTTAAGGGCAATGTTGCGTGATGAAAAAATATTTTCTCGAAGGCTATGAAAATCTTTTTTTAAATACAATCACCTCACTTCACTTTATGTTCCTCTAGATAATTGATATATCCCGGGAGGGTACGTTATATCGATCGTTTCAAAGAATAGCACTTGGAAAAATAAGCATTCATGCTTTTTAACGTCAAATTGGCAAATGGAATATTTTCCGCAAATATTGAGTTCGTGGAGGTATATTTCTTTCGAATTCTTTGTGCGACCAAAAATTAATATTCATATCTTATTATCACGAATTTATCTCCATAATATTTACTGTTGTATTAAATTTCTAAATTATCGGAATTTCTTAAGAAATTCTACTGATATTAAATAAAAACAAATGTAGGAAAATTACTCCCTTTAAAAGAATATTATCTTCGTAAATCGTACAATTTTTTTCGAATTAAATTATAGCAAACTTACTCTTCAAATCTATTCAAATAACACTAAATTTTCTTTATCTGTACGGCTTCTACTTCTGCTCCTTTTCATTCTCGACTCATTCCAGACACACTAACTCATAATTCATTAACATCCCCAAGTAGAAAGCATTCGATCAAAGTCCTGAAGACAAATCATAGCTAAATCCTGATCCAGAGCTGACCAAAATACATATTTCGATCGTATTGAAAGCTAAAATCTCGTGCATCTTGAAGCATCCATTTGTGTCGATCGATAAACCCAAAATCCCCAAGCTCGTTTACCCAGAAATTCGCTGTTCCTCCGTGTCAAAAAATTCAGACCGCATAAGCCGCATCGAACTGCCAATATGGCTGGATGGACGAACCAAATCGTCGTCGATGAAGCGTCACTTCTGTGACATATATCGTGTGAAACGACTGAACACGTCATTTGTAATTCGTTCAAAAGTTTTTCTTTTTTTTTTGTTTTCGCTGTTTCATTAGCGGTCGCTTAGTTGATTTGATAATTCGGTTCTAAATAGCGTGGGATGAACGGTGTTAAACACGCGACGGGGGATGATCGAGGATCGAGAATCGGGACGTGATTGTAGCTGTTGGAGGATCTCGAGTTTCGAATCGTTGTTCGATGTTCCGTAAGACCGGCTGACAGTTTCCCTGATAGCCAATTAGGACGAACGAGTGGTCGACGGTTGGGTAGTAAGTGAGCTGTGAAAACGGCCTAAAAATCGAATATGAAACTGATCCGCATGATTTCCTATGATGGAAATTATTTGTGGAATCTGGATGTGATAGGCTATATAGTGTGTTTATCTGTCAGTTCTCTTATTTTCTTTTTTGAGCTTGACAAATATAGTTTGGAAAATCTGAAAGGGTCTTCGTAGTATTAATAAATATAACAATTATTAAATGACTCGAATTCTAAAAATTTTTATTATCAGGATATAATATTACTATTTTTCTTCTTGAATTTAATTTTTCATATTTTTAATTTCTTTTTAATAAATAAAAATGTGATGCAATAATAGGGTGTTAAGTATTTAAGACTTTTATTATTTTCAATGTTTCTGAGCTTCCTTTACTTGTACGTAATAATATATAAAATAACGTTGCTTAGTAATAAATTCTGAATGTAGAGACAGAATAGTTAAATAGAAGAGATAAAGACAAGTAAATAGATAAATCAGATAGACTTTTGGTGAATATATATTATACATGTGAATTTAATTAATTAAATCTGTTCTTTATTATATTGAAATATAAAATCAAATTATATATGCCATTATACAACTGAAAATGTCCCTGGAAATGAGCAGCCGATGATCAACCTCATTCGTATTTACCGCCTTGAGCACTGAGCGCTAAGCTGAGTCTGCAATTGACGAACGAGCGCGAACGAAAATTCACGAACAAAGGCGAACGGCATGGCGAGCGTTGAGTGCGATCTGTTGTTCGTTAGTGTAGTAATCTTCACGATACAAAGAGTCTCATAATCGGTTCAGTTTCGAAATTTACACGTGGAGTGTGTGAACGGACGAGTTAATGGAAATGTAAGAATATAAGGGCCAAAAACGTTCAGGAAGATTGCGTATGTATGTAACCTATACTTTAACTTTAATTCAATCTTTATCGAAAAAAGTGGAATGTTTACATGCGACTATCGCTATCACTGCAGTAATCGGTATTATTATTCGACAATATAACGTTTCACGATGTCGTGAAGGTTATTAAACGCATATTTTATACATTTATCAAATCGTGTATTAATTCAAACGCGCTTGCGAGGGTTAAACGTGAAGTATCATACGATGCGCAGAACGTGCGTAAAATGCATTCTGCGCATCGTGAACGTCACGTGTAACGTTCGCTGCCACGCATGCATACCGTGATATAACGAGCGATAGCATCGGTATATTAAAGACAAATACTTATTCGTATTCGTATTTATTACAGACAAAATAGTTACATATTCGGTTTCTGCACTCCTCAGTGTAACCTAAGCCTGCATTTAAAGTACGGTCGCGAGTGAATGTGACAAAATATAAACGAGGGACGATGAAATGCGTGCGTAGCAGCAGGAAAGACACAATATACTCCATGGTTGAGGTTATACGGAAAAAGGTGAGTGACGTACACATTGAAAACTGAATTCTTTCGACGTTGCTATGTAACAACGATAATTAAGCGAGTATCTGTTTTGATGTGCCGGCGAAGGACAGATTGAAAGCCGATGCCCGTTCATGCGTGCAATACCGTGCACGTTTAGTCGTGTCCAGTCTTGTCCATTCGTATTCGTTCGTGTTCGTTCGTGCTCGTTCGTCAAGTGTAGACGGAGTTTAAGACGTCTTAAAATCGACGATGCAAGCGACACTTGGGAAGAAGCGGCGTGTACCGAATTCAGCACAAGCTGGCAATATCCTGGAAATATTTAGGTGAGACCAACGAGAGTCTTCCACGAAGCAAGGACCAATGCTCTAGGCTCACGGAAAAGCGGTCGAACGCCGCGGCCGCGTATGCTGCCCTGCAGGCCAGCGAGGACGAGCTCATTGCCGAGCACTGCCTCGAGTCGGAAGATGCGGCCTTAAACACGCCGGGTAGCGAAACCGAGGATACGGAAGATAATGGCGCGCAGATGGAGGAGGCTACCTCCTCCCCTAACCGCCGTTTCACCTTCCTCAGACGTTTCCGATCGCCGAGATTCGGCGAGGCACACCATAAGAGGGTACCTACGCCGATGAAGAGAAAATATCGGCGGAAGAAGAGCAAGGACGATATCATCGACAATGATATGAACGCCGCGGAGGTCGAGCCGTCTAGTCTGAATCAAGTCGACGTGCCCGACCCTTATTATCCGATCTATCTGCCAATCGATCAGGCCTTCAAGGCCAAGTACGTGTTCCATCACAAGAAGGGCAAGACGTTTCAGGAGAGGCTGTACGTGTTCCTGGAACATCCCGGTGGATGGATCTGCTTCATCTATCATTTCACTGTGTGAGTACATTTGTTGGAGTTTTTACTAGGGGGTGTTGGGTTTCCTGATATTGCGCAAGGTTAGGTACTTGCCAGCGATTCCCGCGAGCGTATACAAAGCATTGTATAATAGGGTTATGTATTATATTATTATTGCGGGTTAGTGTTAAATGAAACGTACAGCCGGGTCGTTATTAGTTTTCTTTTAGAATATAACGATAGAGTAAGCTTGAAGCAATATTATATGCTATAGTTATTTTATGTTTATTTCATATAATACTTTATGTGCTTAAAAAATGGCAAACGTAATAATACTTCAACTTATATAGCTTTTATATACACTATGTATAGCTGTTGCTTTTCGCCATTCATTTATTCAGGAGTGACTAAAACCCATAGGTGTTAGGATGAACATTTGAGAGTCAAGAAAGAAATATCTCCTCCAATTTAAGTATCTAATAATCATTTAGTAATGTTTAATTTAATAAATTTTTTATTTATTCGAATATTCTCTAAAATTATCACGGGATGCTTCACACGATTTCTCTACGCTTACCGACGTATATAACCGATACGATTTCTCTACGCGGATATAACTGTACCGATATATTCTGATACATATATGTACACGTATCTCATTGGGACCGTTGTTATTTCGTCCGGATTAATATTCAAAACTGACATTTCGCCCGATGCACCATACGTAAAATTGATTCACTCTGTGCTAATGTAAGGATCAACGTTAGAGAGGAGACGTCTCTTCCTCTGTATACTGTAACTCTCGAGGAATTAGTGACGTATCGACAGGTTCGTTACTCTGGATGTCCAGCGTCGAGCTTTCCGTTCACGTCGTGTCGATCATCGATGATCGGCATTGTTTATTTCCTTGGCTATGTTTTCTTCCTCTAACGATGTTACCTTTTTTTGTAGACCTTCCAGCGAAAGAGCAAGAAAAGAACATTTTTAAACATTGATTCGAACGAGAATTTTTGGAGCTTGCTTTGTGGATGGAAGTAAGGAAATATTGCGGAAATGGATTTGCATGTAGAAGAATCCCTACGGATACTCAAAATATAAAGGAAATAACTTGGACATGCTGTTAGTATAGCGCAAGACGAATCGAACAGAGCGTGTATTTGACTTGGATGTCCAAGTTCCAATAACAGTTTGCTCTTCTACAAATTCAAACTTTTGGATTCTGTTCATATTGGAATCTATATTGGAATCTTCGTATATTTTGATTAGGAATTGTATAATTTTCTATCAGAGGTAATACAGTTCATTGGAGGGTTCGTTGCGTCCAAGGGTAGTTTCTTATCTATCATGAATGATTAATAGAGTAATAAAACTCTCAGGATATTATTAATAATATGATGTATAAAAGACACGTTGTAATCCAATATGACATCGTTCCATCGATTTGTGCTGGTATAAAAATAACGTTGCTTGTAAAGTAAATTTTCTTATACGAAGTTCATTATAGTCGAGTCATGTGATAGAAACAAGTCCTGTTGCTTACGTATGTAGTTCGAAGTAGAAGTACTATAGTAGAAAATAGAACAATATTCCAAGTTTTAGTTTCCTATACCTTAGTCTTTTTCCTTTATTACTTCACAATGTCAAATGTCATTAATAGTTCACCTAGGTGTAACGTTAGGTTAGTTTCTAAAGTGTTAGTATATAATATTCGCGATATAAGTATTTAATAAAATACTATTAATTTCTTCTATATTAATTTCATAATTGATTTCACTGCAATAAATACATACACGTATTTATAAATTAAACACGTTATTATCCAATTTCTACATTTCGTATTTCGGTATAACTTTCTTATAAACCATGCAGAAGTATCGTAAAATGATAAAAGAATTTAATATATCATTGATTTTGTTTAATCAATATTTAAATGTCGAGTCACATAGGAACGATATGGATATATGTCTCTATCACTAGTCACTAGTACATTTCAATCAATAGCCTCATTCATCTTTTTTCAAGAACCGTTCCCCACACCCTGTATCTCTGCAATCCTTCATACTGTCCCCGAAGATAAATATTTCTCCGTTTTATATAGGAAGCAACATCAGCTATTCGAAATAGAAACGGTTCGATTCAACAAGTGAATCGAAATTCTTTTGTATCGTTGTCTATATAGACAGCCAAGTCTGTTTGACGGTGATCCTGCGTTTGTCGTGCACGTTTCTCATTGTTCGCTGACTCCATCGGCTCATTTTGCGTCACGAAACGAGCCAGAGATGTCTCTCGACCATAGCAATCTTCATTGGCAAAAGATTTCCCCTGTAAAGAATTTCCATTCGCCTTTCCTATTTTTATGGCTGGCTCACGCTGGCTTTTCAATTTGTTCGTTGAATCTCAGTTTCATTGGTAGACTGGTCTTCTGAAAATTATTTGTCGCAAATGTATCATGTTTGATGTTGAATATTGTTCGTTATTTACTCCAGCAATAATGAATCTATTAATTTGTTGAGGTTTTGGTATTAATCTTCTATTGGAATTTATAAAAAGTGGAGTTAATTAATTTGACTTGGATGTAGTTAATAAATCCAAGAAATTAAAACCTAACTCAAACTTTAAAATGTGTACTCCAGGGTTGTTCGAGTCTTGTCAATTTTGAGCTATTTGGTTTTCTATTAGAGGAACTATACCATTAGTCTTTTAATGTGTACTTAAATATAGTCTACATAGGTATAGTAATTCTAATGGTACGCTGAAAGTAAATAAATAAATAAATATATACATATTATATTTAATATTCTAGATATTTTTTTAGGAATTTTTAAATAATTTCTTCTTTCTAGATTTCAATTTCTATGTCATCTTATTTTCCTAAAGTTGAGGACTGCTTCGAAGATCGTTAATCACTGTTGCACAAACAATTGCTAGAAACAAACTGTTTAATGGTAGCGTATGATTACTTACTACAACTACACGTTGTTATAGGACTTCGGAATCAGGTGGCGTTTTAAAGAGCCAACATCCATTTTCCACGCAAACACGTGAAATTTGTAGAAGAAAATATTAATTACCTCTAATCTTTCTCTGTACGTATTATTAAAGAAGCGACGTATTGCACATGCACGTATGTAGCATTTCCATATATCCCGTTGATTTCAAAGGATATAAAAAATTATATGGTGTGTTATCACGAACTGTATGTTCACGCGTATCCTGCGAGAAATATCGGAATTTCGAGAAATGTCGAAAGTAGGAGAAACTCGTAGCCAGTTTGTCTTTGTTACCACCTTTCACTGCCACCCCTAAACGACTTATACTACTTACCCAAAATTCTTCTCGCATGTACTCCGCTCCATTGTATAAAAATAAAAATAAAAGCAGAAGAAGCTGAAAATGTACGCTCATCGACACAAGCATTTCCATTCGGAAATCGTGAAATCGTAAAAACGTTATCACCGTCGCCCCACATCCAACGAAGTATATTTTTACCCCCCGATGACCGGCATTTCGCAGGACGAACATCGTGAATAAACGTGATCGTAAAACCGAACTAAAAGGTACTGCCAGACGGTGTCGAAAGTATTCTTCCTTCCCGTTCGCGTCTTCATCGTTCCTGACCGCTGTTTTATTTCCGTTTGCCACTCCGAGTATCGTAAAAATCCTTCTTTGATCCGCCCACGCTCCTGCCACCTGCATAAGTATCAAAATACTCTGGGTTCTCATGCATGATTCAGCGTTTTGTCGTTTTCCATTCTTCCTCCTCGTATTTTTGCCCCCTTGCCTGTGTCTCCCGTTTCTCCCCCTTTTTTTTCCCTCTCTTTTTTCAAAGTCGCCCCGAAGTACCGCAACCCTTTAAATAATTCATTACGAAAACAAAGTACGTCACGATGAAACGTGACATCGGAAGTCTATCGATCCTGCGAACGCGAGCACGTTTATGTTCTCCGTTTCTTCCTTTTTGTAACTATTATTATTATCGTGTACAACGAGGGTATTTTAGTATCGAACGGGGTTGTTCTTATCGTTTCTCGTTAATTTCCTGTTACAACGAAATGATTCTGATCGGTGCCTTTTAATGAGTTCGCGTCCTGGCGTTTTCTTTGTTCCTTTTGTTCCGTTTGTTTCCGTTATTTCCTTCTTCGATTTTTTCTCATTCTTTTTTCCTTTTTCTATGTTTCAACGGTGTTTATGTATCGGGAAGCTTTTACCGGACTGACCTGCGATGATAAAGTGCGATACCGTAGTTTTGGTGATGCGAAACGTCACGATCGGAAATTACCACGGAAGCGTCTTTCATTTTGCTTTCGACGGTGCCACTGCCGCCATTCCAACGCGCCATTCATTTCCGGAAACGTGGATCTGTTTTTCGTTCGCCGCGTGCATCATTCGAACCGCATAATTCATCTGATTCGACACGCGTTTTCTTATTTGCGTGTTATTTTCTGCCATTTAAAATCAAAGGTGTTTTAAGCCGAGAAACGGAAACTTGCAAAGATAAAGGGTTATTTAAATAACGAGATGAGGTGGGTTATTAATATTTAATGGGTCCAGTTGTTTTTGAATTTCCTTTGGTTTTCATTGTAAAGTTTGGTAATGGAGAAGTTAGAATGCAAGATGTAGAATATTAATAGTAGCCGAGTTGTTATTTAATTTTCGTACAGTTTGGTTTCTGGAATATTAACAGTTATAGCGTTGAATGTTGGCAGTTATGGAAAGTTTACTCCATCGATGCATTTTCACAATTTATACTTTATATTTAATGTTCTTACAGCTTCATTTTACGAACGATTTAAGTATACGATTGCATCTGTTTTCCCATAAAGTCGAACGAAACTTTGCACAGGGATCACGTGTTGAAAATTAACAGGTGATAAATGTCACGCAGCCATGAGTCACCTGAGTGGAATAGGAGATTTTATTTTATTTTCTCAGAATTTTATTTTCTTCGCGTGCATCTACCTTATTCGTATTAGAATTATGGCTGTTTCGTAATTAATAGTACGTGGTATCGATTGTTTAACACCTACAATATAAGAATGGTA